TTTCACGATGTGTTGTTTTGTTTCCTGGAAACCAACTTATTATTCTTCATAAAAAATAGTAGATTTTCAGTTTGTGTCTAATAAGATTGTTACTACAGCAGCACTAACTGTTCCTGGAACAACAGTAGGCTACTCCCCAATACCCAAACTGAGGTCTGAAAACACAGTGAACCATAGGCTAACATAATGAAAGCTGGAAATACCCTACTGGATCACTGAATTTCCTCATACGATATTAATCATTACACACCATACTGGTGTGCAGGTTCAAAAGTGACTTTTCAAAATGCCTATGTTGCAATCTAACAATAACCTAGCCTATGTAATGAAATAAATCGGTGACATTTCAGAAATGTTCTCATGACGGTGTAGTTATATCCACTTTGCAGTAATTAAAAATTGTATTATTAATCAGACCAACTGTAAATGCTGATAAAAGTCCAGTTGAAATAGTATTTGTATCTATTTGTCACAATACTTTGTAAAAAATAAATAATATGTTGACAGGACTTGATTTGATGTAGCCTAGTTCCCTGTACTTTTAAGATGAAAATGTAATTAGTTGGGTGTACTTATTATAGTGCATTGATGGATTTATTAGCATATGCATTGTTGTGGAACATTTTGTGTTTATTTTAATTTTATTTTTTAGTACTAGGTTACTAGCCTGGGTACCAGTCTCTTTAACTGATCCACTCCCTGTACTCCATGTCATGTGCAAAAGAGACTGGCCTTTCTTCCATCTTGGATTATGAATATTCTATCATTAATAAGCTCGAGGAGAACAGAATAATTTATCCTGATTCGATCATCATCACAGCTATCCTCCAATCACAACGATTATGCAAATATTGGAACTCTATCATGTTGGTATAGCAACCGTTTTTTCTTTGTCCAGACTAAATCAGTCTGTCCAAAGTTGCTAGTTGAAGTCTACATTGTCACACTAAATACATACTGCAATTCCAACCACAAAACGTCAAAATACAACAACTTGCCTAGCTAACAGCTAAATGTTTGTTTTTGACATTGTTATACATTCTAGTTCTATTTTCGAGGCTCCACATGTTGTCATGGAAAATATTAATGTTATTTCCAAAAACCAATGAGCAACTCCGCCATAAATCCAGCGAACGTTGAGATTGCGGAAAGGCCAGTCTCTTTGGCAATGACAAGGAGTGGCAAGGAGTGGCATGTTAGCTAAAGAGAGTGGGACAGACTACTAGATTACTTGTGATAATATCAATTTAATTGGATGCTTATGAATGGGGTTCCAATAGGTCAGTTTGACGTTCTATAAATTGATTACAGCCATCCACGCCATCTCAATACAAACGCATTAGTGGCAGTCTGCTAAACACACGAATGGTGAGAAAAGGCTGCAGTGCCCAGCATTATATGCTCAGTTTATCAAAAGTAATTGGTTTCCTGAACTTGACTGAATTATTTATCTAACAGGTCAATAAGAGTGTCAAACATAATGAGTTACTGAGTTACTTAATTTAAGTACAAACAAATGAAAAAATTAATAACCATAAAGCATGTTTTTGAGTTCTATGAACAACAACAAAAAACTGTGTTAATCAGACTCACTCAGCTCAAGCCTTTACTTAATTATTCCAAGGCAATTAGTTTCAAAATAAAAAAATGTGTAAAGTTACATGTTACAGCAAATACCATCTCCATTTAAATAATAATACAGTCAATCTTATACCAATAGATCAATACATTGATGATCAATGTGAGGATGCCTGAGCAGCTGCTTACCTGGTGGGAGTTGTGGGCGATCAGGTTCAGAGTGAATGGGGGAGCTGTGTCCTTCATGGCTTTTATAGCCATCCCCAGCCACAGCCTGATTTACAGACAACAACACCAATGTACAGACAGTCATAAATGTCAAACATCTATGAAAAACAACATGTCTTTCAAAGCAGGCTTTGTTATATGTCCACACATAGTGAGTGTTTTTATTTATTTATCAAAAGAGCACTCATGTGTGGACATATAACAAGCTTCTACTTAGAAAAACACCCTTTAACCTTTTAGTAATTCACTGTCACAACATGGGTCATCATATTGTGATTTGCTCATCAAAATTCAAATCACACCATTAATGATGAGTCAGTGGATATGATGGTCTGTTCAGTAACACTGGCAGACTGCTGGTATAATGAGGTATAACTTGTTATAAGCATGTATGAGCCTTTAATAATGGCGTATGAAATGTTAAAAAGCATTTTTTAAATTATGTTGCTCTATGCATGAATCAACATTTCAAGTGACTCTAAATGGCTATTGGAAATGAATACCCACACCCTTAAAAAGTGCTATCTAGAACATAAAATGGTGCTTTGGCTGTCCCCATAGGAAAACCCTTTGAATAACCCTTTTTGGTTCCAGGTAGAGACCCCAAAACAGGTAGAGACCCCAAAAGGGTTCTACCTGGAACCAAAAAGTGTTCTATCTGGACCCAAAAAGGGTTCTGCCATGGCAACAGCCAAAGAACCCTTTTGGAACCCTATTTTCTGAGTGTAAAGGCTGCATGTGTAGAATACGAATATTGAACTTGAAGTTATTTTTAAAGAAGGCCTATATATTCCAAGCTGTTTTCTTTCTTTTCTATATTCATTCACATGTATATTAGGCTCCGTGCATTTTGTGCACATCATGTAGACCAGACCAATTCTATTACTATGGACCAGACAACCTAATAATAGTCCTGCCGCGATCGCCCCTGGATACCAAATGCGCGTTCCCTCTCGGCTCGCGTGGCCGTCACTGCAATGGCATACGCCACAATAACATTTCGGACCAGTAAGCACGGTGCTTGCTTACAATGAAACACAGGTGAAGGCTGGCAGTGGAACTCTAGCCTGTGGTGCCTGCCATTTAGACCGAGAGATGGGTAGATGACGACCAAGAGCAATGGAGTCGAGGGCCCGTTGATACCATGAATGACAGGTATCACAAGGCGGCCCGGGATGGCTACCTGGACCTGCTGAAAGAGGCTACGCGGAAGGACTTGAACGCGCCCGATGAAGATGGCATGACACCGACGTTATGGGCCGCTTATCATGGCAACTTGGAGGCTCTGCGACTTATTGTGGGCAGAGGGTAAGTAGCCTTTTATGAACTAAATGTTGTATTCCTTTTGCTCAACTCGTGCAGTAGCTAAGGATACTGTGTCCATATCTCGTGCGGTTAATAATATTGTGGTTGATAGACATTGGAGTAGTAATGCGCAATCTTATCATGGATAGATAAGATAGGTAAAGTTCCCTCTATAGCCAACCTATACTAGCTAGCCTGCCCCTTTATGCAGTGCTCTGGGAATGTTATGTATATTCTCCTAGGTAACGCAACACCTCTGCAAGAATTAGGTCCTGTCTAGTAAGGTCTGTAGAATTAGTAAGGTCTGTAGAATTAGGTCAGGGCTAGTATTAAAGGTCTGTAGCATTAGGTCAGGTCTGTAACATTAGGTCAGGGCTAGTATTAAAGGTCTGTGACATTAGGTCAGGGCTAGTATTAAAGGTCTGTAGCATTAGGTCAGGTCTGTAACATTAGGTCAGGGCTAGTATTAAAGGTCTGTAACATTAGGTCAGGGCTAGTAAGGTCTGTAGCATTAGGTCAGGTCTGTAACATTAGGTCAGGGCTAGTAAGGTCTGTAACATTAGGTCAGGGCTAGTAAGGTCTGTAACATTAGGTCAGGTCTGTAACATTAGGTCAGGTCTGTAATATTAGGTCAGGTCTGTAACATTAGGTCAGGGCTAGTAAGGTCTGTAACATTAGGTCAGGTCTGTAACATTAGGTCAGGTCTGTAA